TCTTCCTGATTCAGTCTTGGTGAGTTCTTTTTCTAGGAATTCATAGATTTCTTCGAAGGTATCTAATTTGTTAGAATATAACTATTCATGGTAGGCTCTTATGATCCTTATTTCTGTAATGTCTCCTCTTTAAGCACTTCTGATTTTGAATCTTCTCTTAGTCTAGTGAACAGTCTTGTTAATTTCATTTATCATTTTGAAAAAAGTTGCTTTGTTGATCTTTTCTATTTTTTTTTTCTGGTCTCTATTTCATTTATTCCTGTTCTGATCTTTATTTCCTTCTGCTAACTTTGAGCTTAGTTTGTTCTTTTTATAGTTCTTTAGGTATAAAGTCAGACTGTTTGAGAATGTGACTTAATATATGCATTTATCACTATAAACTTCCCTCTCAGAACTGCTTTTTTTTTTTTAAACTTTTTATTTATTTATTCATGAGAGACAGAGAGAGAGAGAGGCAGAGGGAGAAGCAGGCTCCCAAGGAGCAGGGAGCCCAATGCGGGACTCGATCCCAGGACCCTGGGATCACGACCTGAGCCGAAGGCAGACGCTTAACCATCTGAGCCACCCAGGCGCCCTCAGAACTGCTTTTGCATAGGTTTGGTATGTTTCCATTTTCATTTGATAAATTTTATTTCCCTTGTAATTTTTTCTTTGACCCATTGGTTGTTCACAAGTGTTGTTGAATTTCCACATAAAGATTTTCCAGCTTTCCTTTTGTTGATTTGTAGTTTCATACCATTGTGGTCAGAAAAGATGGTTGGTATGATTTCAGTCTTCTTAAATTTGCTAAGACTTGTTTTGTGTCCTTTCATATAATCTATCGTGGAGAATGTTCCTTGTGTACTTGGGAATAATATATTGTTGGTATTGGATGGAATGTTCTATATGTCAGTTAGGTCCATTTGGTCCAAAGTATGGTTCAATTCCAACATTTCCTTACTGATTTTCTGTCTGGATGACTTACCCATTGCTGTAAGTATTAAAGTCCTCTGCTATTATTCTATGGTCTTATTTCTCCAGGTTTGTTAGCATTTGCTTCTTTAGTGCTCCAGTGTTGAATGCATACATATTTATGATTGTTCTATCTTCTTGCTGTACTTACTGATCTTCATTATATCTGAAGGTCAGTTCAGATATAATGACTTTTATCATTATATAATCTTGTCTCTTGTTACCATTTTTGGCTTAAAGTTTGTTTTGCCTAACGTTCAGTATGGCTATCCCTGCTCTTCTGGTTTTCATTTGCATGTCATTTCTTCTTCCATCCTTTTACTTTGAGCCTGTGTGTGTTCTTAAAGCTGAAGTGAGTCTCTTGTGTGAAGCATATAGTTGGGTCTTACTTTTTTTTTATCCAGCCACTTTGTGCCTTTTGATTGGTGAATTCAGTTTACATTTAGAGTAATTATTGATATGTAGGGATTTACAACTGCCATCTTACTGATTCTTCTTTCCTTGTTTCTGTTTCACCTCTGTGATTTTCCATGGTGGGTATACCCCGTGTATATATGTTTCCTTTTTTTAATCTTTTGTCAATCTAGATTTTTGCTTTGTGATTAACATGAGGCTTACCTAAAACATTTCATACATGGAACAGTCCATTTTATGCTGATAGCAACTGATCTTCACTTGCCTATTAAAGGCTCTACACTTTTACTCCTATATTTTTTATCACAATTCATCTTTTTATATTGTGTAGTTAGCAAATTACAGTAGCAAGTTATTTTTAATACTCTCTATACTGTATAGTTAAGTGGCTAATATACTATCCTATTATAGAATTAGAGTTTTCTAAATTTGAGTATTTTTCACCTTTACCAGTGTAAAGATGTTTTCACGTCACTGATTAGTATCTTTTAATTCAGCTTGAAGAACTTTCAGCATTTCTTGCAAGGCAGACCTAGTGGTGATAAATTCCCACAGCTTCTGTCTGTTGGGCAAGTCTTTATAACTCTGGCTGGCAGTTTTTATTTTTTGACACTTTGAATATGTCATTCCACAGTCTCTCCCGGCCTATGGGGCCTTCTTTTGCTGAGAAATCTGATAGCCTAATGGGGGTTCCTTTGTAAGTTACACTCTTTTTACCCGTGGCTGCCTTTAGGATTCTCTGATTTTTGGTAGTTTCTTTGTAACATGTCAGGGTGATCTATGAACTTTGTGAATTTGGATGTCCAAGTCTTTCCCCAGATTTAGGGGAGCTTTCAATTATTTTTAAAACAAACTTTCTGCCCCCTTCTCCCTCTTGTCTTCTGGATTGTGGATTATTTCAAAAGTCCTATCCTCTAAGTCATTTATTCTTTCATCTGCTCTATTCTACTACAAAGGCTATTGTAGTCTCATTCACTGAATTCAACTCCAGAATTTGGTTATGTTTTTCATCTGATAAATTTTTCTTTTGTTCGGGACACCTGAGTGGCTTAGTTGGTTGAACATCTCTTGGTTTCAACTCAGGTCATGATCTCAGGGTCCTGGGATCAAGCCCTGCCTTGGGTTCCACCATCAGTGAGAAGTCTGCTTCCCTTTGCCCTCTGCTCCCCGACCCCTGCTCATGCACGCTAAAATCTTTAAAAAAAAAAAAAAAAGTTATGTATTTATTTTCCTTCCTAATACCATTGTATTTTTTCTTGTAGCTAGTCGTGTTCTTCAAAACAGTTATTCTGAATTCTTTATCAGCTAGATTGCAATATTCTATGTCTTTGAGCTCAATTGTTGAATTATTGAGATCTTTTGGGGGTGAAATAGTTGATTTTCACGTTTGTGTTTTTGCATTGCTGTTTTCACATTTCAAGTAGCAGACACCTCCTGAGCCTTTACTGGTTGGCCTTCGATGGAGTGCTGCTCACCGGTGTTGCTACATCAGGTTTCCTCGACTTTTGAATGGGCAAAGCTGCTCCACTCTTCCTGCTCCCTCTAGTGGCAGAATTCTTAAAACTCTTATAACTCACCAGGCTGGCTGCTGGAAACCTGTTTTCCAGAAGGTGGTGCTATAGCTCCACAGCTCCAGTTGGTGATTTCTCCCTTGCCCAGGGACCCTGGTCCATTTTTCTGAGAACACTCTGATCACCAGACCTGTTCTCACTGCCCCATCACGAGCACGCACAGGGATCCAGCCACATAGTGGGAGCTGGTGTGCGTTTAGCACTTGGGGTTTTGGGGATGCTGTGGACCCAGTGGAACAATCTTGAGTGGGATACTCTCAGAGGTATATGGGCAGACTGCTTGAAGCAGTCAGCAGGAACTGCATTCTTTTAATGCCCTTTGATATTTTTTTTTAAAGAAAGATTTTTATTTATTGAGAGCGAGAATGGTAGAGCGAGCATTAGAAGGAAGATCAGAGGGAGCAGCAGACTCCCTGCTGAGCAGGGAGCCCGATGCGGGACTCGATCCTGGGACTCCAGGATCATGACCTGAGCCAAAGGCAGTCGCTTAACCAACTGACCCTGCTCTTTGATATTCTTTTTTTTTTTTTTTAAGCCACTGTTATTTTATATTTAAACAGCATGAGAGGGGAAAGGGTCAGAGGGAGAAGCAGGCTCCCCGCTGAGCCAGGAGCCCGATGTGGGACTCGATCCCAGGACTCCAGGATCATGACCTGAGCTGAAGGCAGTCGCTTAACCAACTGAGCCACCCAGGCGCCCTCTTTGATATTCTTAACTGCTTCCTTCACCTCTCTTCCCTCCCCCTCACAGTCATGCAGTTCCCACTTCAGTACCCAGGCTGCTGCTGGAGACAAATGGATTTCTCCAGCCATGACCCACACAACTGGCATAGCTGGGCACTCACTGCTTTCCACCTTCTCCGGAGAGGCCCGCCACTGCCAGACGGCTTAGCCCCGTGCAGCCAGGTGCTGGATATGTAACTGTCAACAAAAGAGGTTTCCTTGTAATGTCTCTGAAGTTTACTAACATTCAAAAGGAGAAAACTTTTGTTTGCTTGAAGACTCGAGTCACAGATTTTCATTAATGAACAAAGAACAGTTAAAAAGAAAAATGTCAAAGAGTTTGAAAGGTATCATTTACCCACGATTTTTAAAATTCTGTAATTCTAAAAGATTAATGAATATGGAAATAATAAAAGTGATACCTAAAGAATGCTCCAAAAAAAGAGAATGGACTCTAACAACTACAGGAATAAATGACAGTACATTGATACAGACCTGAATGTTTTATTGTAAGAAATACTTTTACTTTGACCCAATTAAAGGAGCTTTCAATATGATAAGATTTCTTCACTTTCCATTAAGGGAATAAATATGGTCATGCTTAAAGGAGAAAAAGGGACATTTAAACATTGGGGAAAATGTGGAGGTGACAAAACACAGGCTTAGTTTGCTTTTATACAATGGTGGTTTTGTTATTTACATAAGCAATATATACGGGACAGGAGCTTTTTAAAATCTAGTAAAAAGTAAAAATTTTTGCCAATTTTTTTTAATGTTTCCATGTAAGAAAAAATAAGTTCCTCTTATAGCTCTTGAATTAATCACAATTTATTTAATAATCATTTCATATTAGAAGACTTAAGTGTTGCATTTCACCCAAGCAGACTGTAATCCACAAGTAGTATAAAAGGGGATTGATTTATATCATAGCAGGAAATAAAGGTGATATAATAATCATTGTTAATGATTTTTAAAGAAATACATTTCTATCAAACTTTAGAGGAATCCTTCATAGCCCCAAGAAACGTAATTTACTCAAATTTTTAACAAGTAATTAAAAGAAAATGTAGAATATAAATTAAAATGTACTTTAAACAAGTTCCAAATATACTTATTAAATATAAAGATGTTAGCTCTTGGTACGTAAGAAAATATTTACAACTAATAAGAATATTGTAGAATATACATGTTCTATGTATAAAAATAAGTAAAATATTTTATAGTACAGACCAAAGGATCTTTTCTAAACCAGGTTTTATCCGTGCAACTCTTTTACAATACCATCCCACTAGCATTACTGGAACACATACATGCATGGAAGAAATCTAACCACAGTCTTGCCTTAAAGCTCATACTTCCTTTTTAGGGCCTGTACATCTTCTAAAGTAAAATGTTTGTTTGGTGTGTCTGAGAGGTCATCAAAGAGCTGTTCAATTTGCTCCTTCTGGCTCTTGCTAATTAGTGTCAACATCATCTGGAATAAAGAGGAAAAACTGTATTAGCTTAATTAAGAAAAAAATGAACATTTTAAAGTTATAGAAACCCTGGAAGAAAATCAATCTCTATTATTTTTCCACTTACCATGAACCTTTCTACTTTACTCAGATATAAAAGATGCTGATACACCAATGAGGGATCTTTACCAAGATTATTTTTCAGAGACTGAATGAGGAGGAGGAATGTATCCCCTTCAAGTTTGTTACTCAACAACATTGGCAAATCTTTCGGTTCTGTGATGGTTAAAAGGTGTGCACAGGCTTGTTTATCGTTCCGCATACTGATAGCGTTTATAACCTGACCAAACTCATAGGCATTGTTAGGCTTGGTGATGGGTAGTTTTTCAGAGTATTCTAGTGGCCCACTGGTTGTGTCTCCGTTCTCAGAGGCACGGCAGTCAGTGGAGAGCTCCTCCGAGGTCCTTCCAGGCTCTTCTTCCTGGCCTTCGCTCACCTTCATGAGGGAAAAAAATGATACTGTGACGTAACAGCCACTGCACACATCCCAAGCTACATTTATTAAAATGGGAAGGAACTGGAAAACACTAGTAGGCTATATTTTAGTCAAATTCTAAGTGTGTAATTTATAATAGTAAAATCTATTCTTTTTAGGAAGAAGTTTTAAATATCCATTCATGAAAGTGTTAAAATTTTTTATAGTTTTCCATGAAAGATGACCTATATAACAACTTTATCTCAGGGCACCTGGGTGGCTCAGTCGGTTAAGCGTCTGCCTTCGGCTCAGGTCATGATCCCAGAGTCCTGGGATCAAGCCCCACACCGAACCGGGCAGGCTCCCTGCTGAGCGGGAAGCCTGCTTCTCCCTCTCCCACTCCCCCTGCTTGTGTTCCCTCTCTCACTGTGTCTCTCTGTCGTCAAATAAATAAAATCTTTAAAAAAGAGAAAAAGAAAAAACTTTCTCTTTTTCATGATAAATTTTACACTTATTTTCTTACATTTAACAGAGACATGAACATTTTTTTCTTTCCTCCTTAGAGGAAAAATACTTCTGGTTTTCTCACTTTTTGGCTTTTACTCTATAATGGAAATATAAGGTGATAAATATCACCATTTATGAATACACAAGAATTCAGGAGCCAACTTTTTTTTTTTTACGAGAGCTTGTATGGGTGCGCGCACACATGGGGGGCGCCCGTGAGAAGCAGCGGGAGAGAGAGAATCCTAAGCAGGCTCCATGACTCCACATCAGCTCAGAAGCCGAAAGCAGGGCTTAATCTCACAACCATGAGATCATGACCTGAGCTGAAATCAAGAGTCAAGACACTTAACCCACTAAGTAACCCAGGTGCCCCATGAGCGGCCATTCTTCACTGAAGGCAAAGCAAAAAGCTGGAGCACAAGACACTGAGTTTGATTCAGGAGTAGTCCAAGATCTCTGATGAGGCCAGTCTTGTTTCAGAGTGCTAAAAAGGCCTAAATCGATTTAAAAAATCCCTATGGGGTATGGCAAGGCCACTGAAATTTGAATCAATCCTATCAGGATTCTCCCGGTCTACCCTGATGCAAAGTTCAATGACCACAGGCCCCCAGAGCAATCTGGGGTGGAAACAATGCAAACTGTAGGCGGGAGGGGAGGGAGGAGGGGTGGAATGCAGAGAAAGGAGGAATTGCAGTAATGCAGAATCCCAATACCCTCCATGGACCCAAGCTGGGAAATACAATGGCTAATTATGGCAAAGGAAAAGTTTTGTCTCTTAACTGGTTAAAATTTCTTCACTGGAGATTAAAATAAAAAATTTAAAACATTTTTTGTAGAACTCATAAGAATCTGACTTAAAAACATTAAATAAAGATTTTATTTATTTGACAGAGAAAGACAGAGAGGGAACACAAGCAGGGGGAGTGGGAGAGGGAGAAGCAGGCCTCCCGCCAAGGAGGGAGCCCAATGCGGGGCTCCATCCCAGGACCCTGGGACCATCACCTGAGCCGAAGGCAGACGCTTAACGACTGAGCCACCCAGGTGCCCCTGAATCTGACTTTAGAATCCAATATAAAATCCCCCAAAGAGTACTTTCAAAGATAATGAAATACCTCTTGAATCTCAATTTTCCTTCTCTCCTTTTCCTTGTTGAATAATGTTGTATTGTCCTTAATGTTAAGGAATCTGGTTACCTCTTCCAGTTCCATCTTTGCCTCAACAATACTTGAATCTAGTAGGAGAACTTTATTGAGATCGTTCAAACTTTTCTGATAATCCTGAAAGTAGAAAGCAGAGAAAATAATTTTCATAAATAAAAGACAGGGCACAGATTAGCTCAAGTGGGAGTGAGAATAAGCTTGAGTAGCACAGAACGTGTACAGGGGCTCCCTTTAGTACCCTGATGATAATGTCAGGCCCATACAGTAGTCTTGAACTAAAATATTAACACCCATAACACAGAAAATCCACCAGAGAAGAAAAGGCACGGAATCTGGAGTTGGAAGACTCAAGTTCAATTCGGGGTCACCACAACCTTCACAGTCCCTGGTGTACAGTAGGCATTTGTTGTCTGCTGAGTGAGTGAATGGAAGAACCACCATCCTCATGTTAGCACCTACTAATTATGAAATGAACAAAATCCTACTTAATCTTTGAATTTCAGTTTTCTCATCTTTAAGGATAACAAAAGCTTCTCTACTCTGGTTTTCACCAAGGCTGTACCAAGCATAAATGAATTAATAAGGAATACTTTAAACCTATGTAAAGGGCTATCCAATGTCACTTGTCAGATATCCTGCACCATAAAACCCTTCAAAGTGGTACGCTGTTCAAACAGGCTGGCAGCAACATTTATTCTTCCATAGAGTCAAACAATACATTGGGGGGGGGGGGCGTGAGGGAAAAGAAAAGGAATCTAAGCTTAACAAAACACAGCAAAGAATGTGGTGGTAGAGACAAGATATCACAAAATCACAGTCTGATGTGACAGGCCATTCTAGAACTACAGACTAGACCAATGTTTTCATTAAACCAAAATTAATTCTGTAAGGAGGCAAAGAATTCCAATGATGTGTAACCTCCCCAAGTATTCATGACCTGCCAATAAGCTCATGCGCTGGAGGCTGAGGCCTGGGTTAGACAGGCTCATGGTTATGGGACGTTCCTGGGGGGCTCGCTGGGGGGCCACAGCCCTCCCCCTCCACCCAGCAGGACACTAGAGCAAAAGTGACCTGTTTAAAGAGATTAACGTAAATCTGCTCTCATTCAGTAAAAAAGGTAAATTATTTACAAACCATAGTAGAAACCTGCTACAGAAAAACAAGTGACACTGTATTTCCATCTGAAGCGTTCCTGCTGGGAACCATACTGAGAGGCAAGGAATGGGGCAGCAGAACAGGTTGAGGTAGTAATTAACTGCTAACTCTTAACCATTCTCTCTGCATTTTCAAAGTATTAGTTTACTCCCAATAGCCCTATACATACTAACTGCTGTCCGCATTTTAAAGATAAGGAAACTGAGGCATCGAGAGAATCCTTGGGACGATCAAGGCAGCAATGCCCACCAAGCAAATGAGAACACAGTTGTGGAATCCCAGTGAGAAGCCTGAAAACAGATTTGTGAGCTATGGCCTTGGAAATGGAAGAAGTCCCACACCACTGGAAACAATATGTTTTTTGTTTTGTATTGTATTTAAGAAAAATCTGTGCCTAGGGGCACCTGGGTGGCTCAGTCGTTAAGCGTCTGCCTTCGGCTCAGGCTATGATCCCAGGGTCCTGGGATTGAGCCCCCGCCTCAGGCTCCCTGCTCCACAAGAAGCCTGCTTCTCCCTCTCCCACTCCCCCTGCTTGTGTTCCCTCTCTCGCTGTCTGTGTCAAATAAATAAAATCTTAAAAAAAAAAAATCTGTGGCTAAAGAGCGATCTGTCTGGTTGGAAGAGACCTAAGAAAACATGAAATAATACTTTGATAAAGAGTTACAACAGGGGCAAGCAAATGTAAAGAGAGAACAAGAGCACAGGAGAGGGAGGAGCCCGTCTGCCAGATCCCAAGAACGGTCAGGTAGCCCTGGCCCCTGTGGAAGCTTCTGTCTTAGGAAGGGAAACAATCTTTAAAAAGTAAACGAATGAATAAAGTACGGACTATCACTAATGCAATTAAGAAAGCCAAGGTTTTCTCTGGATACTAACGAGGGGGAATGAGTCTCCTTTGATACCCTTGTCAGGGAACACAAGCCCTGAAGGGAAACAGGCACGCCGTGGAGGGAAGAGCAGGGCCTACACAGAGAAAAGTGTGGCTCCGGCAAAAAGGAGGACATTAAAAGTTGCTAATTACTGCATTAGGGCCTTAAAGAAAAAAGTATAATCACAGTATTAATAGATGTACTTAAAATGTAGTAACAATTATATGACTGTTTGATATTTTTGGCCTTACAGCATCCCCACTTAATGGGCTGCACATTCCCTAAGGCAACACCATGGGCTCTTCACCACTATGATCCACAGTCTAGCGCATACGTGGCACTCAATAAGAGAAAGACATTCTAAAACAAAATACCACAGGATTTAACTCACATGTGAAACTTAACAAAACAATTGAACACAGGGGAAAAAGGAGAGGCGAACCAAGAAACAGGCTCTTTAACTATAGAGAACTGGTTACCAGAGGGGAGGTGGGGGGTTAAGTAGGTGATGGGGACTGAGGAGGACACCTGAGATGAGCACCGGGGGTTGCATGGAAGTGCTGAATCACTGAATTCTATACCCAAAACTAGTACTGCGCTGTAGATTAACCAGAATTTAAATAAAAACTTGGAAGAAAAGATAAATTCTGAGTGAAAGCTTTTAATTTTCAAAACTGGCGCGCGCACGCGCACACACACACACACACAGTTAAAGGCATCTAGAAAACAAAAGATCTCAGAAAGCAGAGTACTCAGCTGCTAACTACAGGTAGGGCATCTGCTCACTGCAAGCCTCTGTGCTAATTCTCGTTACAGACACACTAAGGAAGTGGCTCCGGGCGTGAGTTCTGATGCATTTGATAAAAGCAGCTGTCACCCTTGAAGATCGTGAAATTAAATTTGCTTGGCACATAACTCAAAATTACAGGATATATAAATGGAAGCCAGAAGAACTCAAACCAGAAACACAAACTGCCGGCCTCATAACCTAGTGGGATAGGATTACTCAAATTTGGGATTCTCTTTCTGCGTAATACAATTTCTAGAATTCATTCCAAAGAAGTATAGAAAGTCTTTCATTAGGTACACCTTCTGCCTTTATGTGAGGATCACATAAAGAATCAGGCAGCCAGTATGAGGTAAACGTGCTTTTAGAGTCTGGACATACGTAAACTCATGAGTTGTCAGGCACACCTACCCTCATGTGCCTGAATCCATTAAACTCAGAAAAAGCCAAGTAAATTCTGAAGAAGCCTCTCTTACCTCATGGTGCCACACACCAGCTAAGAAATCTTTACGTGAGGTTTATGGATGGGTGTGTTGCTAACAAAAAAAGGAGCGGGGGGAGCGGGCCAGATCACATGGGGGGCTTCCGGGTCGGCGGCAGACGCACCCACATGCAGGGAGGTGGTGCACGCCAGCACCGCGTGGACAGAAGCTGCTGTGCTCAGGACCCTTGTGGCCGTGGCCCGATGTACCTCTTCGCCTGGCTCTAGATCTGCGTCCTTCACAATATCCTTGGTAACACACTGGGCGGGAGAAGGGGGGCAGGCACGGCACGGCCCCACTGGCCTCGGGGTCCTGCCACAGCAGCTGCACGGGTGCGGCTCAACCACAACCTCCGTGGATCCAGGATCTAGAAACACAAAAGCCTGAGCCCTCAATGCGCACAGCTTGGACTCATTTGCTACACTAGGCAGAAACGTGACTGCCCTCTCCCAAAAAACCCAGGTTTTACAGAATATATTTTTAGATATTGCCCTGTCAGTGATGGGCATGGAACTAAAAGAATTATCTCAAACTCAGTAAGGTCAAACTGAACTATCCCTCTCCCCAATCAAAACTCTCCCTCCTCCCGAATACCCTCCATTATCATACTGCACCACTCATTCCCCAAGCCAGGAAGCTGGGAGGTACCCCCCTGCTCCTTCCCCCCTACATGTTACTGCTCAGGATGTTTACCTTCAAACGCCCTGGAATTAACCTCTCACTTTCTGCTATGGGCTAAACTGTGTCCCCCTGAAAATTCCTCTGCTGGGAGTCTTAACCACAGCACTTCAGAATGTGACCGTATTTGGAGACAGGTTCTTTAAAAAGGTAATAGAGTGGGCCCCAATCCAGTAGGACTGGTGTCCTTATAGAAAGAGGGAACTGGCAGACAGACGTGTACAGAGAGAAGACAGCTATCCATAAGCCAAGGAGAGGGGCCTAGAGCACATCCTTCCCTCACAGCCCTCAGGAAGAGCCATCCCGGCTGCCAATTTAATCTCAAGATTAAGAACTCTAAGAACCGTTAAGAAAATATATTTCTCTTTAAGCCACAACGTGTGGTACTTTGTTATGGAAGTCCCGGCAAACTAACAGACCTTCTCTCTTCCCTCTGCTATTTGTTACCTTCCTTCAGGCAACTGCTTCCTGCCTTGGCAGCTTCTAACCAATCTCCCTACCTCATGCTGGGCCCCCGGTGATCCAGCTTTGACGCTGCTGCCAAATCTGATCCATCATGCCCCCCTTGACCCTTAGGGAATCCCACCACCTCAGGATCAAGCCCATCCACCAGAGCAAGGCCTCCCAGGCCCTTCATAATCTGACCATCTCTCTCCATCCCCATTGCCATCTGCACCTGGCCTCTCGCTGTACCAGTTCATGTACAAGTTCATAAAAAATGTGGGAAGGAATAATCATAACAGTTTTATTCTTAACAACCCCAGAAGGGAAACATCTAAATGTAATTAACTGGTGAATATGTAAAAAAAAAAAAAAGTTGTAGTATATTCAGTAATAAAACTCAGTAATAAAAAGAAATAATTCCTGATATTCACACAATATGGATGACTCTCAGATGCTCTGCTGAGCAAAAAAAAAAAAAAAAAAGCCAAAGAATACAGTACATTCTATATGATTATACTTATGTTACTGCCGAAAAGAAGCAAAACTAATCTACAATGATAGAAACGAGATGAATGGCTGCCTGGGGGTGGGTGTGGAAGGAGGGGAATGGGTATAGGGAACTTTCTGGAGAGATGGGAATGTTATTTACCTTGATTGGAGTGGTGGCTACATGGGGATATACATTATTCAAAAATCAACAACTAAAATAAAACAATTCTACTTACAATTGCATCAAAAGGAATAAAATATCTAGGAATAAACTTAACCAAGAAGGTGAAAGATTTGTACATAGTATTGTGAAAAGTATAAGACACTGATGAAAGAAACTGAAGAAGACAGAAAAAAATGGGAAGACAGTTTGTGCTCATGGATGGAAAAAATTAATATTGTTAAAATGTTTACACTACTCGAAGCAATCTACAGATTCAATGCAATACCTATTTAAAATTCCAATGGCAGGGTGCCTGGGTGGCTCAGTTGGTTAAGCCGACTGCTTTCGGCTCAGGTCATGATCCCAGAGTCCTGGGATCGAGTCCTGCATCGGGCTCCCAGCTCAGTGGGGAGCCTGCTTCTCCCTCTGATCCTCTCCCTTCTCATGCTGTTTCTCTCTCTCTCAAATAAATAAAAAATCTTAAAAAAAAATAAATAAAATTCCAATGGCATTTTTCACAGAAATAAAACAAGCAATCCTAAAACTTGTATGAACCTGGTAACACCCCAAATAGCCAAAGCAATCTTGAAAAGGAACAAAGCTGGAGGCAACACAATTCCTGATTTCAAACTATATTACAAAACTCCAGTAATCAAAACAGTACGATACTGGCATAAAAACAGACACAGAGATCAATAAATCAGAATGGAGAGCCCAGAGGCCAACAAATTTACGACAAAGGAGCCAAGAATTCTCACTGGGGAAAGGACAGTCTTCAATAAATGGCGCTGGGAAAACTGGACCACTATCTTATACTATACACAAATATCAACACAAAATGGATTAAATTTGAACTTAAGACCTGAAACCATAAAACTCCTAGAAGAAAACATAGCCAGTAAAGCTCCTTGACACTGGTCTTGGGTTTTGGATTTGACACCAAAAGCAAAGGTAACAAAATCAACAATAAACAACTGGGACTACACCAAACTAAAAAGCTTCTGCACAGTGAAGGAAACAAAATGAAAAACTACCAAGTAGGAGAAAATATTTGCAAATCACGTATCTAGTAAGTGGTTAATATCCAAATTACATAAGCAACTCCTACAACTCAGTATCAAAAAAAGAATCCGGTTAATAAAAGAGCAGAGGAACGGAACAGACAGTTCTCCAGAGAAGAAACCTACAGATGGGTAACAGACACATGAAAAGATGCTCAACGTCACTCATCATCGGGGAAATGAAAATCAAAGCCACAATGAGGTATCACCGCACACCTGTCAGAATGGCTAGAATCAACACCACAGGAAACAACAGGTGTTGGCGAGGATGTGGAGAGAGGGGACCCCTTATGTGCCGGCGGTGGGAATGGACACTTGTGCAGTTATTACAGAAAGCAGCACGGAGTCTCCTTAAAAAAACTAAAACTAGAACTACCAGATGATCCAGCAATCCCACCTCTGGGTATTTATCTGAAGGAAATGAAAACACTAAATCTAAAAGATACCTGCACCCCCATGTTTACTGCAGCAATATTTACAACAGCCAAGACGTGGAAACAACCTAAGTGTCCACCACTGAATGAACCGATAGAGAAAAGGTGATATAGCTACACAATGGAGTATTATTCAGTCAAACAAAAGGAAATCCCTGCCATCTGCCAACAACATGGATGGATCCCAAGGACATATGCTAAGTGAAATAAGGCAAATAGAGAAAGGCAATTACCATACGACTTCACTTGTACGTGAAATCTAGAAAAAAACAAACAAAAACTGAATTCACAGATATAAAAACTAACTGGTGGTTGTCAGAGGCAAGGCGGGGAGTGGGGAGTGGGTGACATGGGTCAAAAGGTACAAACCTCCAGTTAAAAAGTAAGTCATGGGCATACGACCGCATTAACACTGTGCCATGTATTTGAAAGTTGCTACAAGAGTAGATCTTTAAAAGTTCCCATTACAGGAAAAAAAAATGGTAATGATGTGTGCTGATGGGCTGCTAACTAGACTTATTGTGATCATTTTGCAAATCACATCATTATGCTATACACCCGGAACTAATACAATGTTATATGTCAATTATATCTCAACTTAAAGAAAGTCAATGACCTGTAGGCTTACAATGTGTGAATTTCATTGTATTAGGCCTTAAAACAAATTGGTTTTTAAGAAATACAATTTCAAGAAATGCCACAGCCCAGTATGTTCTAATTTGTCCTTGTGATGTTACTTTCTACAAAAATGAACATTAAAGTATTTCCACACAGCAGACTCAGCCTAAAGAAAAGTGTAAATTATACAATACTTTGAAAATAACGGTGTGGTTTTCTTAGAGAAGAACATCACTCCACAGTCTCACACAGATAACCAACCAGCCAGTTTAAAGCCCAAATCACCATCAGCTTCCCAATCTCTGATATGTCTCTACCAACTTCCCCTGGGTGAATCAATCTTCCGTTCCAACGCCTTCCTCCCACCCCCCAGACAACCCCAATCGTTTGGTGGAGGAATCCAGTGGGACCACTGGTTGCCTTCAGTGATTCAGTGGCAAACCTTCCTGTCCCTTAAAGTGGACCTATGATTAATAAAATTCCTTAGAAAATCAGGAAATAAATCCTAATTTTTGAGCTGGAAGGAATCTTAGAAATTATCTAGCTCCACATAAAAGGTAGGGGAAATCTGAGGCCCATTCCCAGGTGTCAGGACTGGTTAGTACAGAAGCAGGATTAAATCCCAGGATAATCTCACTCCCTTTCCATGATCCCAGGATTTATGTTCATAAAAACCACATGCTGTTTTCAGAGCTGCAATTTACATATTAAAATGAAGATTTCCAGGGCACCTGGGTGGCTCAGATGGTTGAGTGTCTGCCTTTGGCTCGGGTCATGATCTCCAGGTCCTGGGATCGAGCCCCGCATCGGGCTCCCTGCTCAGCGGGGAGTCTGCTTCTCCCACTTCCTCTGCCTCTCCCCACTGCTCCTGCTCTCTCTCTCTGTCTCAAATGAATAAAAAAATTCTATTAAAAAAAAAATGAAGATTTCCTCACCTTGAGTCCCTTATGAGCCAGAGCTCGTCTATAGCACGCTTTCACATTCCCGTTATCGATCTGAAGTGCCTGATCACAGTCCTGCTTTGCCTCTTCAAACTGGCACAGCTTCAAGTAACAGAGAGCTCTGGTGTAACGTAAGTATGAAAGTAACGATGTATTATCAACAGCGAAGACAACATATCTCCAATCACAGCTTTTTCTTGCAATGCATGTAATCATGGCATTGGGGATACAACTGCAAACAAAATACAGTCTGGGACCCTCAAGGAGGCTACAGTCTAGTGGAAGGGAAAGACAATTAAAACAAGCAAACACAGTAAAATCTAAACAGGATGCTTTCTCTGGGAGCACACAGCTGAGAATATCACGGAATCTGGTGGGGCTGCGGCAAGGGCAGGAGTAGTCAGGGAAGACTTCCTGGAAGAAGTTACATTTAAGTTGAAGCCCAGACCATGAGGTGGGAATTATCCAGTGCAAAGGCACTGGGCCGAGAGTTAAGATGTAGGAGGGGAGTGGTGGCCAGGGGCCCGGCAAGAGCAGAGTCTCACAGTGAGAGAGAGACAGAGTGAGCGAGCGCACAGTGCTCTTGATGCGCTAAGAAAAGCACCATATGGCTGGGTACAGGGATGAGCTAGAAGGGAGGCCAGGCCAGATGGTGAAGGGTCCCATAAATCATGGCAAGGAGGCTGAGCTTTCTCCTGAGCTTCATGGAGGTCCACCAATGGGTTCTCAAATAGGGCTAACACGTTTACCAGGTTTTAGAAAGATGGCTCGAGCTACAACCCTGGAGAAGGAGACAAGAGGGAACAAGACGTGCAAGGTAGTATGGAGGGTGCTGCAAACATCTAGGAGGAGCCGGTGGTGGCCCAGGACAGGGGTGACAGTGAGGTCGGAGAGAAAGGCTCCTGCCAAAGAGGAATTTGGAAGGAGGACATCCCAGTTTGCAGACAGCCCGGGAGAGGGAGGCGTCAGTCAGGAGTGCAGACAGGAGTGGAGTGCTCGGGTCTGGAGCCCAGAGGGAGATGGACAGGGCGGCAGGCAGTGGGCACACCTGGAAGGTGGTAGGGGGCCTGGGGAGAAGATGGACTGGCTCAGAGAGCATGCAGGGTGAAAAAGGGATCTGCGCCTTCAGAACCCCAAGAAGGGCAGGGGAAGGCAGGCCTGTGGAGGGAGGAGATGTGCCGGGTGAGCCCCGGGTACTGACATCAAAGGGCGAGGCGGTTCCAGGCCCACCTGAGCGGCCGCCCATACCCCGGACTGCAGAGGCTGAGCAGAAGGGGAGAACACGACCTGGTGGAGTTAGTGACAACGTTTTTGACAAAATGGTTGCCAACGGAGGAAAACATGCACAAAAACAAAGCAGTGAGAGGTCGGAGTAAAAAGAACTCATCTGAAATAGCTAAGAAAACGTGTGCTGGGAGTCCCTGCTCTCTAGGAGCTATCCTCACTCTCGGCACCCCAGACTCTACCTATTCCTGACAACCCCCACACCACCGGAGTCTAGATAGCGATCTTTTACCATCATGTAGTAAAGACTGCCTCTCAGCAGCTTTCCAGAACAATCTGCCCATTCCGGCTACACACTGAAGGATGCTGGTACCCTCCCTCAGGACTTCAAGAGAGAAAGGACACTTAGGAAACGCGTCAGAAAGACAGGTGAGTCCTGCTCCTACAGGGCCAACCACGCGCGGGCCTGGTTGGGCACAGGGAGCTGGGCGGGGGGAAGTGAGGGCAAGGGCAGCCCGCGGGGACCCCCAGCCCGCCGCACCGCACGCTGTCAGTCTCTCTGGAACGCCCATGGCCCCCGCCTCTTTGAAAAACACTTAAGACAATATGCTATATAAATTCTCCAAACGATGGAGAAAAAACTTTGGCAATTAATCTGTCTATACTTTTTAATCCCCCCCCCAAAAAATTAACATAAGAAATACGTAAAGTTACAAAGAACTTGCCTGTTTGTATAAATGGCACACTCCTTGTTGTTAATCTTTAAGCATTCACTGTATTTACTAAGGGCATCTTTATAGTTTTTGTCCTTTACACATTGATTTCCTTCTTCTTTAAGGGTTTTAAACATTTTTTCATCTATGGGACACCCCCCAAGGGGGCGGAAAAAAAAGGAAGGATTCATATAAGCACCTCTACAAAATCTTCAGTACATCCGTAAGCAGACATTCTATTGCAAATTAACCTGACCACACACCATGCAGAGCTAAAGTCAAAGTGGAACAAAACTTTGTATACAAATTAAAAAGGCAAATTGGCTGTAAGTAAAAATTATACAATTATGACATTTTTTTCAAATTAGAAAATAAAACATAAATAATGACATCATTTTATCCATACTGGTATGTCTTCTCTACTGGAGATACAAACATCTACAGTGTTTGGTTTAGTAACTATTTCATGAAAAATGCACAAACCTGTTCAAGCCTGAGGTGGACATTTGTCCAGTACCCCATTTCCTTGGAAAACCCACCTCCCCCACTCTCTGTCCTGCGGTTTAGGTAAAGCAAGCCCTACCCTAGCCCAACCTTTTGGAGTAATTTTTGTGTTACTATCAGCACATCATACTTCCTTGGCCACAATAATCTAACTCATCAGGGATGGGCCTATGAGAGCCAATAAGCTACAACAAGATTTTTTATGGCAGCTTCTGGTAATGCTTGCTCTTTCTCGTGGAATATGAGGAGGAAGAGAGGAGCTATCCAGCCATCTGGTGATACAAGGGAAGAGTGTATTTCTCTAGATGGGGTGAAAAGAGCAAGAAAGAGGCCAAGATAGAGAGCTGAAGAAGAATCTATGAGTCCTGAATCTAGCCATCCCTGCAGCTACTCTACCTGTGGACGTTTCCATGATAGGAGCCAATAAACAACCTTTTTCACTTAAGCCATAAAAGGCTGGATTTTCTGTTATCTGCAGTGAGAGAGTCCCAACTATTACCATTACCTGTGCAGTGATCATGGCCGACTCTGCTTAGGATCCATTTCCCCTTCCTCAGGGTGCCCTGATGTCCACTCAGCTATCACTCCTCTCCTACTCAACCCAGGCGTTCAGAGGAAACTGACCCCACTGATCAGGAACACAGGTTTAGCTAAGCCAATCGGGGCATGGCATGTCCTCATCACAGGGACTGGCTCAGGAATGGGCACATGACCCATTAGAATAAGTCCCAATAAAATGTGAGTCAAGAAAGTAACAGGATAAAAAAGCTAGGGCTTTCAGGGTAACATATTTTCTCATTTTTGAATTAATGCTACCCAAAGCAATGGTGTCTCTCTCTCTTTGGACATTGGTACCTGCACCCAGGAAGTCTAAAACCACTACAGTTCTATTATTTTCAGTCAGCATCTGAGCCCTGATGAGCTTTCAGTTACATGAACCAAAATCTTACGGTTTAAGTTAGTAGATTTTCTGTACTTGCAACCAAAGTTTTCTATCACACATAAGTATGAAAACCTGAAGTTTTGAATCTATGTAATAAGTCTACCTAATGGGGTAACTTGATATAAAATAAAAATCCTGAAATTAAAATTTATTTCTAATGTTTCATGTTTCAAAAGACCACACAATGAGGCCAAATGACAACCCCCATACATCCTGCTTATATGTAAGACCTAAAGCAGAATAGTACAGGGATTCCTCCCCGCCCGATTTGCTGAAAAACTTTCCTTAAGCTTTTCTTCCCCCATTGTTTTTAAACCTTTGGTATCTATTCTAATAATCACATAGATATGTAGAGCTGATTATCCTTATGCTCCTCATGAGCTGACACAGATCCACAGCACAGTTAGTACATGCCCTTTGTTAATAAACCACCACCCTTCACTGAGCAAATGCTGTGTGCGAGACTCCGATGACAGCCAACTCTAGAAACCAGAGATCTCCAAGATTTTCCAAGTCTTAGTAGATGTTCCCTGCATCTCCCTTCTAGTCAATGAAGAGGATGAGGGTCTAATAGAAGCCACATCGCGACTCAGGAATCTCAGGGTGTCTACAGGATGAGGCTCAACCAGGGACACACAGGGAGTTCCTAAGCAGGCAGGAGAAATGGGGCCTTCAAGTGGCTTTTAGCAGAAAGCAAGAGTGAAGTCCCATTTATTAAACACTCTGCACAAAGTAATGAGGTAGGTACTATGGGAATGCAGGTATGTTAATAACTATGATATAAGGCAGAAAAAAATACCTGCTAGATATTTATGTTGTAGCGTTTTACTTTGTTCTATTATTTCAAACACACCGATCTTATTACTTTAAGCCCTGCAACATGCAGGTGTTAAGAGAGAACTACATGCTATACTTCTTTTTCTTATGAATAATAATGCTAACTAAACCTTTATTAAGTATTTTGTATGCCTATCTCCATTTATTCCTGGGAACAACGCCACAAGACAGTTATTCATATTCCCCCCTTTCATACACACTAGGACACTGGATGTGGGAAGCAACTTCTTAAGACTCTAGTTAGAAAGAGGGCGAACAGGGTCTTAAACCTGGGTCTGATGCCTGAGTTCACGCCCTTAACCTTCTGCTTCCCTGTGAAAACAGACACGCAGCTCAAGGTACCCTTGAAAAGAAGGGCGTGTAGGCTTCCCCCACCTGTGATGCCGGGCTGGGGCCGGCTGCAGGAACCTCCCCCTTGGTTGGGGGGCGTCTCCGCCACAGGCTGCCAAGCTCGCAAATGCGCAGAAGTGGGCACAGCAGGAATGGGTGACAACTTCTCCCTCCAGCTTGGTCCATCCAGATTCATTAAAATTCTTGTTATTCTAAAAAGAAAATTAGTTTTTTGTATCACTGAAGCTCAAATCAACAGTAAGATTTACAACACTGCGTTTGTGTACTTCTCTATAGAAAACACAGTCTTGAGCTATCTGCTGTCCCCATAAACGGTCTTTAAAAGGACTTTTAAAAGTTGCCCCAAAACTATGTTAACTTTAGATCCTTTCTGTATCAAAAGAAAAAATGAAGGTCTAAAAATTTTTTCAATGTATATGCAATAAAAAGCAAAATATAAAGGTAAAATTTAGGAGGCCTAGAAGAAACGTCCTGCATAACATTTAATATAATTACTAAATTGATAACGCGTTACTCTTGAGAATAATCAAAAACACCTTAGAATTTCTATGCCCAAACTATACACCAAAGAGAGGTGTACAAGACCAGCTGCTAAAACTGATGAGGGCAAGCTATCATGTGTAATATTGTTTTTCCTTAAAGCATTTACATATGGCTAAGATACTCTTACCTTGCCTTTTTTTTTTTTTGTCTTTAAAGTTATTCACTTACTGTATTTTCATATGCATAAAGATGAAAGGACAGGATACTGGAGTCTAATAGGAGGGCCCTTATACTACCGATGTTTACTAATGGCCATCACAAAGTTCAGATTAACATCCCCATTATCACTTATCACATCTGTCATCATTTTAAACATACAAAATATATTTACGTTTAAAAACAAAACTGAACTATGTCTTTGAAATTAAACTGGTTTTAAAAAGGTGTGTCCCAAGATGAGAAGATTTACAGGTAAGTAGTAGAATGCATTCAAGTTAGCTAACTCAATAGTACTTTTTGTGTGAATAGTTTTCTATTTATACAGAAACAAACACAATCCACATACTTTTTCTTACAGTTTCTTAAACCGAAATTTCAATAGTGATCTTTGGTTATGCAAACCAAATATCACACATCTTAAAGAAAATAACTTTAAAAAATAATGTAAGGCCACCCACAACTACAGAAGGAAAAAAAAAAAGCTTTAGAAAAGAGAATTTTCAAGCAAAACTTGTATTACCAGCAGAGAGGAAGGAAGAAGCAGCTGAAAAGAGATGATGTGTTGCCAGGGAGTAAATAAGTAAATGCAGGGAAATTTAACATATAAGATTCCTGGAGAGGAAAAGAGGAACATGGTTAATGGAAGACAGAAACAAAATATAAGCACAGAGGTTTAAATAAATAAAAAAAAGAGCTGCTGTTGTTCACATGGAAAAGCAAACGTAAATATGGGATTCGTGAAAAGGAACAGTGAAATTTAAAAAATGGATATTTCACAGAAAAATATATATGGCCACCAGACAAAACCCCCTCATCTTCTTATAAAGTATCACTAAGAAATGTTCGATTAAAAAGTGAATGAATCTTAAAAGTCAATCTGTATTAACGAACCTTCATGAATACATATAAAAAGGATAACACAATCCTCAAAAAGCTAAACATAGAATTCCCCCATGACCCAGCGATTCCACTCCTAGGTATACTCCAAGAGAAAGTGAAAACAGGTGTGCAAACACTTGCACATGAATGCCCACAGCAGACTATTCCCAATAGCCCAAAGATGGAGACAACCCCAGTGTCCATCACCTGATGAATGGATAAACAAGACGTACTATCCCCATACAATGGAATGTTATTCAGCTATAAAAAGAAAGGAAGCACTCACATATTCTACAACATGAACCTTAAAAACATCACACTAGGTGAAAGAAGACAAACACAAAAGGCACATAACTCTAGGATTCCATTTACAGGGACCATCCAGAACAGGTAAACTGACAAGACAGAAAGCGGATGAGTGGTTGCCAGGGGCTGAGAGAAGGGAGAATGCGTGGCTGCTTAATAGGGACAGGGTTTCCTTTGGGGATGATGAATGTTCTGGAACTAGAGAGAGGTGGTGGGTTGTACAAGTGTGCATGTACTAAAGGCCACTCAACTGCATACTCTAAAACAGACAATTTTATGTTCCATGAATTTTACTTCAATTTTTTCAAAATATATAGTGCACAAGGTTCAGAAAGAGGAGTAATCACAGCCTCTCAGGTAACTATTTTTCCTGTCAGACCTTCCGGCCCATCACTATGAACCCGCTTTCCTCCAACACCTTCCAACAGGCCCTTCCTCTCCGTCGGCTAATTCGGCTGTCTTCCTGCTTTGTCTCACAGGAAGCCAAGCTCTGGGAGAAGATCCTACTTGCCCAACTACGTTGGAGATGACTGGGGACAGAGGATGGGCAAACTAAAAGCCTACCACAGGAGTGAACTGTGCTCTCTCTGTTGGAGAATGAATTCAATCAACACATCTTACTGAGTGTATCTGCTGTAAGAGGTACTTCAACTACACAGACGGATAAAACCCAATTCCTGACCTCAAGGAACTTTCAGTAGAATGAGAGAAAAATAATTTTACAAAAAGGGACAGAGAATTTACAAACGATATGGAAGCTGGGTAATAATAGAGGGCACGGTGTTCTGGGGAACTGGGAAGGGCGCCTAAAGTACATGTATGGTGGGATGGAGGTGGGTCTATCAGGGAAAGTCATTTCCTAGAGGAAGGAGGTCCTCTCCTAAAGGACAGGAAGGAATTAACCGGGCAAAAAAGGGGAAAAGAGCCTCCAGGCACATATGAGGAGGCAGCAGATGACATTTCAGCAAGGCAGCTGTGCCACAGGGCAAATGGTTGAGACCTCCCAGGTGATGCTGCCCAAGCTCAAGCTCAAGCTCAAGATCAAGGAGGCTGTGAATGCCCAAGGCTTGATCTGGCCCCAGGTCCAATTACCAATGCATATCCCTTTCTTCCAGTTAGGCCAGGATCAGAGAGGTTCCACATGACCAGAGTGGACACTCCAGGAAATGACTGTTGGCTCTACACACAGATCTTTCCAACGGTCTTCTCCAAAGTGTGGTGGGACCATGTGTGGAGGTAAGGCATGATTTTATAAAATCAATTAATCTAAAACATGCCATTCTCATCTTGCACAATTTTGCTCAAGGTTCCCTCCTATCAGTGCTCTTCAAAGACCACGTCAGGCGCTTGCTCTCCAACAACTGCAGCCTACACAGACCAAGGGGGCCTGGCCTCTCTGTGATTTCCCCACCTTACTAACATATTTTCACTGTTGGGGATAGTCTGTCTTATGTTTTTCCCCCTGGCTATATTCTGGTTTGCTTAAATACAGAGATTATGTTATTTTTCTGCTTTTTGTCCTCTTGTGGGGGGAGCAGGGCAGGGTACGCCAGACCAACACGGGGAACAGTGTAACGCACACAAGAAGGTATACTCTGGACAAATGGGATCAGAAAATAGTATACATAACTAGAAATATTATCCAACTCATAATTTTTTAATTTCACCTGAAAGCAATTTATGAAGTCTGGAAATTCTTACCTTCCCATGCTCACTCAGGGGGTAAATAGGTCATAATATAAATTAGATCCAAATTCTTTGCTATTTCACCATGATAAATTAATACTCATCCTAGATGAGTGTCTATTTAAAGGGCATATAACACAAAATCTAGCAGGCTCATGAAGACATCCACTTTCCTGAGAAACAACAGTTATGCTTCCACTGACAGATGTGGTGCACTGAACATGTGCAAACCCTGTAGGAGAAGAAGATTCGATATGGCAGTTTTCACTACATTTTTGGATCTTGTGCTAGAATTACTAGTGATTTACAACATCACTGGAAACACCTTCCTAACGCCACAGATATTTACAAATACTAAAATTAAGTTCCGTGCATTCAGAACAGCGAAGAAGATCTATACACTGAGCTTAAGGAAAAAAAAAATTTACTGAACAGTAATTAATGGACAAGGAAACAAATATAAAGGTGTTAGAGGACAACTCAAAATGGATTATAGGACAGTTAGAAATTAGGTTAGAGAGAGAGAGAACTGTTTGGTTTTGATGGGAGTGAAAATCATGCATGCAAAGTAAGTAACCAAGGACATGTCTACACTCTGACACCATTCTTGGAGAAGAGGAAGAAAAACACGTAATTCCAGTAGAAAACAACTAGACCTCAGGCACCGCCTCAGGCTGGCTTACCTGTTAATACTGTCATTTGCTAGCTGGATTCTGCAGTCTATTTGCAACACTATTTTATAATCCACATAAGCTTTCTGATACTGCTCTAAAGTTTCATAGGCCATTGCTCGACGAAGAAGAGGTTTGATTGAGAATGGATGAAGTTCCAGAGCCCTGAAGACAAAAATATTACATGTCATTTGTTTTGAAAAGTTTTAACTTAATACTAACTGAATATACACTGTAGTACTGGACTTTCAAACACAAACATATCTGGTATTTCATACGAAGGACCTAGGAATATACTAGAAAGGCAAACTCAGAGTAGAAGAACAATCAAACTTGCGGTTACTTCCTTTATTTTATATACTTTGGGTGGTGGGGGAGGGAGAGAGAAAATCCCAAGCAGGCTCCACTCCCAGTGTGGAGCCGGCCGCAGGGGCTCTGTCTCACAACCCTGAGATCATGCCCTGAGCTGAAATCAAGAGTCGGATGCACCAAATGAGCCACCCACGTGCCCCTACTTCCTTTATTTTAAACCAGTAGCAAAGCACGTTAGCATTTACTTTCCCCCGCTGAGACTGAGCTCCCTGGCAGTGGGCAGTGTGCCCCACCCTCTCCAATACCCCAAACCCTCCCCACCTCTGCCCCGACAGAGCCCACCATGGCACCAAATACAAGGTAGGCTTTCAACAGATTCTTGTTACCTACTAATGGATTAAGAGGAAAATTTTCATTCACACTTGTGTTTAATAAGGCACCTCAGTAACAGAACCACAAAAATTTGCATTACATTTTGAAAATCAGCTCCCTAAAGGTCAGTTTATTATGATTTACTTGCGGGCAAAGGGCTTCAAAAATAGACCAGGGGGAATCAAGGAAGTAAGTGTATGATGATTTCTTGTTAAGTCACGAATTTTCATCTTGCATTTGTTAAGGCTACGAAGTATTTCCAACATCACTAGAGATGTATTCAAGGTTATGTTCCTTGGTTTTGTTTGAAGTAACTGTTTAAGGCTACTTCGCTACACAACGGACTTCATGACATTCTGAAATAAAGCACACAATCCAGAGATTGTAATTATGAACGAAAATTATCACACTCTTCGTTTTAACGAACTTAACTGAAACTGTAAAGCACGCGAGCAGAAATCCTAGCAAGAGCCTACCTTCTACACACCCCACCAGGGAGTGTCTGCTGCCCTGGGCTGTCCACACCAGGGATGGCAGGTCTGCTCCTCGGGTTCACTCTTCTGCTACACGCGGTATTCAAAGCACGTGTTTAACTTCCTTCAGGGAAAGCACGAGTGAGGGCTGCTTTACTTGTTCTCCAACAGTCTTGGGGATCTGCTGTCTATCCCCGTCTACAGTGATCTGGCAAGGGGATGCTGACAGAGCACCTGCCAGGTGCGAGCCACTGCAGACTCCCTCCTCGCACTGCCGAAGCCGGCAAGGTCAACAGTCATCCGTTCATGCTGCAGGTGAGGAGGCGGAGGGAAACTGAGCCTGATCTGCCCATAGGGCAGTTCTTCTGAATTTCAGCTTCAGGAAAGCCAGGGCAGTGACTGTCCCCATGGCTGAGATCAGCGCCTGGCCCGCAGGAGGCACTCAGCAAACACCCCAGCCCCCCCACAAGCGAACCTACGCTCTGCCTCCCTCACACATCCAAAAGCACTATCAATAAGGGAACTTCGTTGGAGTCATTCACAATTCTCCACACTGTACAGACACTCCACCACAAAGGGGGGGTGTGCTCCTGGGCTCTGCACCATACAGGCTGTCACGAACGAGCTTCAGTGCTCTATAATCTAACCAATTTCATTCTGCACAGGTGTTAGCAGTGGGGGTTATTTTAATGATCTCCTCTGTACTGTACTGTACTGGGCTTTACGTTTTTTTCTCTAACACACATGTATTACTTTTATAACCAATAAAAGTTACTTTAAAAGTAAAACTAAGATCAAGTAAAAACTCCTACTTAAACACTAGAAAACAGATCTCTGAGCATCATTACCACTGCCTTAAATCTAGCTTAGTTTCATGCTTAGGGCATTTAACAACATGAACCCAGAAGACAAACATGTACGATACTCACACAACTACCCCAGGTCACCACAGACTTCCAACGCCCAAGGTGCTTTTCAGCCACTCAAGACAGAGCCCAGGGAGGCGTGGAATATAACACTGAGCAAGACGATGCATTTAATTTTTAGCACTCCCAGCCCAGTAAATGCAAGGTTTTTTCTCTTTAACCACAATCCTGAAAGTGAGCATGAGCTTATAAAGGAAATTCCACTAAGAAAAAAAAAGGGCATTCATTCATAAAAACAGAGAACTTTTTTAAGCCAGAGCTCACAAAGGTTTAACCATTCAAGTTAATACAGTTAAGACCCTACAGTCTTGTAATTTGAAGCCTGTCAGAGAGAAGCAAGGAGGAGCAAAAGCAGAAAATTACCAGGCAATGTTCATTTTTAGTGAGTCTGTCAAAATATCCTCAATGGAAAGTCACCGAAAGATTCTTTTGGTGTAGTTTAGATAACCCAAAAAGGTTCTCTGGCAGCTAGGAAGAGGATTTTTTCTTTAAGCTGGTAAACAATTCTGAGAACATAAAGCAATTTCTAGGATAATGGTTTTAAACTTCTGCCCTGTTTCATGGTTCATCTCGAAGCCTAAAATAGAAACATGGAGATGCTGTGGCCAAGAGAGGGACAAGGCCCAGAGCCCCCTGAGCTCCTCAAATCCCCCTCACACTCCCAACAGTGATCCTCTCAGCACACCCCTGGGACACACCTCAGAGGAAGTGTTTCAGAGGAGGCCCCAGGAGTTCAGATGTGTAAAATTAAACACTTTCCCCCCAAACTGCATTAAGTTATTCTCATAGGTCAATCTACGAAAGCTAATTCATAGGTTCCCCTCTCCCTTAAAGTTGGCCCCGATTGAGTTTTTTTTCAGTTTGACTCCTGCTACCACTTGCCTCAGAATAAGGGCTCATGGGCACACTAAAACAACTCTCCAAAGAGCAGAGACAAGCAAGTGAAAAACTAAAACATAGGCTTCCATTAAAATGTATGTAATCTTCTTGAGGTGAAAATAGTCCTATTTCTGCTACTAAATGATTCCTAGTTCATACAGATTTAAATACATTTATTTCAACATGTTTACAAAAGCAAACCAAGTTTTCTGGCATTAAAAGTAGTTTGAGGGGCACCTCCGTGGCTTAGTCGTTAAGCATCTGCCTTCTGCTCAGGTCGTGATCCCAGGGTCCTGGGATCGAGTCCTACAGCAGGCTCCCTGCAGGCTGGGAAGCCTGCTTCTCCCTCTCCCACTCCCCCTGCTTGTGTTCCCTCTCTCGCTGTGCCTCTGTCAAATAAACAGTTAAAAAAAAAAAAAAAGTAGTTTGAGGTTCACTGCTTTGGAGTAAAATCACCTCATGCCCCTTATGTTGGGACTCATATGTCAGGTATCAAGAAAACATCTAAGTAGGTCGGGCCCCACAGAGGTCAGTACTGACCAGCAAAGCAGGATTCTTTGGCCTAGAACACAGCTCTTATCTAAGGACATCTTAACTAAACCACCGCCCATCTCCCTCCACCCCTGCCCCCTCCCCAGGCCATCTCCTGCACTCCTTCCAGACAAACCTCCATTCTAGCCCCCTTAGACACCATGGCTGGAATCCCATCTTTGACTTCCTCCCAGATCTACATTGAAACACAACAAATTTTAGCAAGAAAATGTCTGCTACCCTAAACTATCTCACTTAAGGATAAAGTGACTCCACTGTTTTGCAGTAGCCCTAACTGTAGGGTTCCCAAGTCTGAACTGTAGTCCTAAACTCACTCACTGTAGCAAGACCTAAGATAAATCTGAAGGTTAACGTGTTAGCCACAGACACTTGTGCTGTAAAGGTTCTTGGCTGCAAATCACAATGTACTTGATATTCCACAAATTCATATGGTGTTACTAGTTAAGTGCAGTGGTAAATGTTTAACAACTGGCTCTCCTAAGGAGAAAAACCCAGATTTGAGGTGCCTGCCAATTTTCATGGTGTTAGTACTCCAACCATGGCCGATTTCAAGCTACCAATTTGACTTCGACCAGCTCCTAAAAATGTAACAAGTAGTGTGAGCCAGCACAACAGTGGATGGGGTCTACAGTCAGGGCCAAGTGAATATAAGTAGTATTTATTTTAAATTTGAACATGTAAAATTGGCACAAAAAAAAAAAAAAAAATCCAAGCCCCTCAACACCTTCTTTTTAAACTGTAGACACAGAAATTGGCAAGTTTTTACCCATATCAATATACTCATACTAACACTGAAAAAAAAAATAAACTGTTCTTATAATGAGATTGTCCACAAGTTATTGTTCAACCTAGGACTTCTGAGAGTGAAAACGGGTAATATTAGTAATTTTACCAGACAAGAGGAGTAAACCAAGACTGTGAGGGTCAAGCCAGGACACACAACTTATTTTTTAGATGCACTACTAGTAGCTTCTTTCCAAAGGGCTCCTGAAGCAGGCTTATTACACAATGGTGGGGAAAAACAGTACTTTTTATTCATGTAAATACATTCACCAACCTCAGTATGTAACTTGTTGAGTACCACGGGTGACTATAGTGCTTGCAAAGCGGTCTACAACATGGTTCCTGACTTCACGGAGCTGAAAATCCATTGTAGTGGATAACACAAGTACCCACAGGTGTGAGAATGACCGTGCAAGGGGTATAGCCATGCAGGTGACCAGGAAGCCTGAGGTGACCAGGAAGGCAAAGAAGAGGGGGCAGCTGAGCAGGGATTTCAGAAGCAAAGATGTGCAGAGGGCTTCACAGTGGCCCAAATGAGAGCAGAAAGCTTGTTTGGGGGGCAAGGAGGTAAGAGGAGCTTGTAATTATCTGCAACACCACACTGAGCCACTGAATACCTGTCTGAAACACAAAATAATGCTTCAGGAAAAGTTGTTCTGATGCTACAGTGGAGGAGCCAAAGAGACTAGATGAAAGGCTTCTCCAAAGTCTGAAATTGACATGAAAAGAGCATGGATTAAGGTGATGGCTGTGTAAATGAAAAAAGTTTGCAGTCTTCTATTAACTGTCTTTGTATATATGAAGGAGAAAAATGTATCATTTTTAGGTATAATTCAATTAACATGTCTTTAAAGTGTCTAAGAAATTAGATTCATGCAGAAAATTCAGTAAGAAATTAAATACTGCATTCATTCATCACACTGAAATGGTAATCTCTTGACAAACCTGAAAACGCGCAGTTTACCTGTTACAATCTTGAATGCAGCCGCTGCAGTTTCCTTCTTTTAGGTAGCACGCTGCTCTATTTGAATATAAGACACTTAGATCATCTGCACTTCCACTTCCTAAAATCACATTTAATTAAATACGGTTAAACTCCAGGAGCGCAATCACAGTTCCCCAGCAAGACGAGACGACTGAGGTCTCCGGGGGCACTGCAGTCCTACAGCCCGCCCCTCACGCGGAGCCCGGGGAGCGCCCGGTGCCCGCAGGGGCCTCAGAGGGCGAGGCCGTGAGGGACGCATGCAGACGCGCCCCGCCCGGGCACATGCTACGCATTCCGAGGTGCAGCTCGCCCAGGTCGATCCCACCCCGCCCTCCGTCCGGTCCGCACGGACGCGAGCGCCTGTCATCCGGGCGGCGGCCCTACACGTCCCGAGAGCCGCAGCCCGAGGGTCCGGGGAGGCGCGGGCTCAGCTCTCGCCTACCTGCAGGTTCCAGCTGCGCGATCGCCGCCGAGTACTTGAGGGCAGCCTCGGAGAACTGGCCGCTTTTGAACAGCTCGTTGCCCTGGTTCTTCAAGCCCGCGGGGCCGAGCGTGGCGGCGGGGACGGGGGCCGCGGGGACGGGGGCCGCGGCGACGGCGGCAGGATCCCCGGCGCCCCGCCCGCTGCCCGGGTGCCGGTTGGCGCTGCCTGCCGCCTCGGGGGCCCGCGGTCGGCCCCGCTTGTCCGCGCCGGCTCCGGGCGCACGACCCCGCCGCGGCGCGCCCCTCTCCGGCCGCTTGCCGCCCTCGCTTTTGCCGGTCAGCTTCTTCTGGATGTTGCCCATGGCGCGCGGCTCCGCGGCGCTCCCGGCTCCCGCCGGCTCCGCGGCCTCTGTGGGAAGTGGATGCGGGAAGCGAGTGTTTGCATCATCAGGAGAAACTACCTACCGCGGCGGCCACGGGGGTGCCCGGCGCAGACGCGCGGCGCAGCGCGCGCGGGGGCGGGTCGCGGCGGAGGCCAGGCGGACACCGCCCCCGCGGGCGGGGCTGCGCGGTTCCCGGCACCTCCAGGCGCGCGCCTGCCGGGGGGCTGACCGCCGGGCCGCGCGCTGCCCGGGCCACGCACTGGAGGCACCCGTAGTTAACTCCTTGAACGCTGACGAGCTTGGGACGCGAACACGGCTCCTCAAAATCATTCCCTGAGTCAAAGCATCCGTGGCGAGGTACAGCTTACAAAAAAAAGTACCTTTCTCCCATTTACGATTTACGAAAGCATGAAGTTACCAAACCTTGAATACGATAATTGCACCCAAGATCAGGGTACCTTTTTACGTTAAAGAACTGGGAGAGAAAGATAATTTGAAAGTGAAATAAAATCCAAGTGACCATTTTAAAATGAATTTAACAAAGAAGTTACATAAAATAGGCACCAAGTTTTTAAAGTGAGCCTTAAAAAGCAGTAAATTTTCCATAACAGTGTCTTATTCAAGCTAAATTCCTTTATCTTGATGGAAGGACTTCAGGCGTTAATCATAGCTTTAATAATTGATTTTTGAATCTATTTTTTTTAAGATTTTATTTATTTATTTGAGAGAGAGAGAATGAGAGATAGCACGAGAGGGAAGAGGGTCAGAGGGAGAAGCGGACTCTCCGCTGAGCAGGGAGCCCGATGTGGGACTCGATCCCAGGACTCCAGGATCATGACCTGAGCCGAAGGCAGTCGCTTAACCAACTGAGCCACCCAGGCGCCCCGTGAATCTATTATTTTTAAATATGAAAATGATGTATAAATATTTCATTGGTGGGTGTCATCAATATTTAAAACAAAGCAAAAAATATTTAAAACAAATCAATTATTTCACAGCACTGTTAGAAAAAACACAAGTATAGAGACTTCCGAGCTTTCTGTTTTAACAAATTCTAATCTGATTTTTTTTAAGCAGGCTCCGTGCCCAACGTAGGACTTGAATTCAAGACCCGGAAATCAAGCGGGGCATACTGCACCACTGAGCGGGACTGAGTCAGCCAGGTGCTCCTCTAACCTGATTTTTAATGGATATATTTTCCACTGTGTTTCATGAATGGTAAAGCTAGTATTTGAACCACAAGGACAGGGGGAATAGAGAAGCAGGAGTATTTAAGTGAAAATCAGTGGATGGTCACCTTAAGGCAAGCACTGAGTGTAAAAACACACTAATTAGTAAGTATGGGTTTCTATAGTGTAATAACCAAAAGAGGCTTCATTATGAAAAGAATAAAAAGATCTTGTTATAGCAATAAATCCCCAGATTGGACCCAGTAGGATTATTACAGCAAGACTCCAGTCTTCTTCGTCTGGTATCTGCTGCTCAAGTCCCCACCCAGCATCAAAACAGATGAAAGCAGAGATCAGTGTCAACAGAAACAATAGACACTTCAGTATTATTCGCCATTCCCTTGTATATTATGCCCTCACGTCTGACCAGTACTATTACTAAATAGCTGCAGTTTATTTAGAACTCAATATGGGTCAGGATTTTTGCATACACCACTTTCCATTATCATTAATCCTCATACCTAGTATTATCATCCGCACTTTATAAATAAGGCAACAAAGACACAAGGAAAAAGCTAAAGATTGTCCTAGAGCAAAGAGAGCTAGAAATCAGCATAACTGGTTTATGGGATTCAAATGAAATGACCTGAAAGCCATACCTCTCTCCTTAAGACCAAAGGTCCTTGAACAACTTTGATAGTCTCTAGAGGTAAGCCGAGGCCTGATCCTGAAAGACCTGTGCGTCCTGGTGTGTACTGTACTACCTGTGGGACATTCCAGCGGAGTTGTTCAGGAGGTGGCTCCAAATGTAGCTCAGAGGAGTGGCCTTATCTAAAGTCTTCAGTAAGTCCCAGTGGACTTGGGAGTTGCTGATATAAATAGATCATTGGAGTTTGGGTGTGGATGAGGTCACTCTGATCTTCCAGAGGATCCCTAAGAAATACTAACATGTAAAGGATGATAGTAAGAAAAATCTTCAGTGGAGATGGAGGAGTATCTAGAAATGAGAGAAAGCCCAGGAGGGAGTACTGCCTCAGAAACCAAGAAGAAAGAGTATTTCAGGGAGGAAGGAGTCAAGAATAACAAATAATCAAAGGAAGGGAAGGCTGGCAGTATCAGCTGCCTAAAGCCTACCGACAACCATTAGATCTAAAGCCATGAGGACTCACTTCAGTAGCCTTTAGTAGTTTGGGTAGTTGGTAGATGCAGAAATCCTCAACAAAACACCAGCAAACCAAATCCAACAGCATAGTACAAGGATTATACACCATGACCAAGTGGGATTTATCTCAGGAAGTAGTTCAACAGTCCAAAATCAACATACAACATACCACATTAATCGAATAAGGGGAAAAAAAACCACATGATCATTACTGACTTTGAATGGGCATTTGACAAAAGCCAACACCCTTTCATGATAAAAAACAGAAAACTATGACCAGAAGTGAAATTTCTCAAAATGATAAAGTACATTTATGAAAAACTCAGTCAACATCATATCAGTGGTAAAATCCTCAAAGTTTTCCCCTGAAGTTCAGGAACAAGACAAGGATGCTGTCTTCACCACAGCTACTCAACAATTATACTGGAAGTTGCAGCCTCATCACTAGGCAAGAAAAAATAGAAAAAAACCATCCATATTGGAAAGGAAAAAGTAAAACTATTAACAGATGATGTGATTATTATATTTTATATTATATGTGTGTGTGTGTGTGTGTGTTTATATTTGGAGGGTATATGTAATCCTAAAGAATACACACACACACACATTACTACTACTAAGGCTAAAAAGCAAATTCAGCAGTTTCAGTGTACAAGATACACTAGCAATGAACAATCTGAAAATTACAAAAACAATTCCATATACAGTAGCATCCAGATGAATAAAATATTTAGGAATATATTTAACTAAGAAGGTGAAAGACTTGTATACCGAAAAATACAAATTACTGGAAGAAAACCAACAAATGGAAAGAAATCTCTTAATCATAGATAGGAAAACTTAATGTTAAGATATCCAAAGTGATCTACAGATCTGACATAATCCCCTATCAGAATTCTACAGCCTTTTCTGCAGAAATGGAAAAGTTGATCCTCAAATTCATATGGAATTTCAAGGGGTTCAGGGTAGTCAAGACGATCTTGAGAAAGAAGAACAAATCAAAGGACTTATACTTCTGATTTCTAAAAAGTAAAAGCTTCAGTAATCAAAACCGTGTGGCACTGACATAAGAATAGACATCTAGGCGAACAGAATTGACCTGAGATTCTATAAACCCATACATCTATGGCCAGTTGATTCTTGACAAGGGTGTCAAGTCCATTCAATGAGGAAAGCATAGTCTAACAAATGGTGTTGGGACAATTGGATTTTTACATGCTGAAAAAAAAGCTAAGCTGGACTCCTTCCTACCTCAATTAATCAAAATAAGTCAGTGACCTAAATATAAGAACTAAAACCATAAAATTCTTAGAAGAGAACATAGAGGTAAATCTACATGCCCTTGGATTTGGTGACGGATTTTTATATAGGACACTGAAGGCACAGGCAACAAAAGAAAAAATAAACTGAACTTCATCAAAATTAAAAACTTTGCATAAAAGGATATTATCAAGGGCGCCTGGGTGGCTCAGTTGGTTGGGTGACTGCCTTCGGCTCAGGTCATGATCCTGGAGTCCCTGGATCAAGTCCCGCATCGGGCTCCCCGCTCAGCAAGGAGTCTGCTTCTCCCTCTGACCCTAACCCCTTTCATGTTCTCTCTCTCATTCTCTCTCTCTCAAATAAATAAATAAAATCTTTAAAAAATAAAAAAATTTAAAAAAAGGATATTATCAAGAAAGTAAAAACACAACCCACAGAATGGGAGAAATTATGTGCAAGCTATATATCTTACCTGCAAGGGTCTAGTATCCAGACTACATAAAGTACACTTATAATGCAACTATAAAAAGACAACCTAATTCTTAAATTAGGCTGCAAAGGACTTGAATAAGCATTCCTCCAAAGAAGATACACAAATAATAATATACACAGAAAAATGGTTACCATAATGTCATTACAAGAATGCAAATCAAAACCATAAGGAGTTGCCACTTTGCACACCCATTATAATGGCTATAATCAAAATGGCAAACCATAACAAGTGTTTGCAAGAATGTGGAGGAATTAAAATCCTCATATATTGTTGGTGGGACTATAAAATGGTGTAGCCACTTTGGAAAACAGTCTGGCAGTTCCTCAAGAAGTTAAACAAGAGTTACCATATAATCCAGCATTCTACTCCTAGTTATATACCCAAGAAAATTAAAAACATAACGCCCACACACAGAACTTGTACATGAATTTCATAGCCACATTATTCAGAAGAGCCAAAAAAGTGGCAATAATCCAAATGTCCATCAACAGATGGATAGAGAAAATGTATTATCCATGCAATGGAGTTTATTTGTCCATAAAAAGGAGTAAAGTACTGATACATGCTGCAACATGGATGAATCTTGAAAATGTTATGCTAAGTGAAAGGAGCCAGACACAAAGGCCACATGTTGTATGATTCCATTTATATGAGATATTCAGCATGGGCAAAGCCACAGAGATAGAAAGGATTAATGGTTGCCCGAGGTTGGGGCGGCGGGGGGCGGGGGGAGATGGAAGTGACTGTTAATGGGTATGAGGTTTCCTTTGTGATGATAAAAATGTGCCAGGATTAGACAGTGGTGATGGTTGTACAACCTTGTGAATATATTAAAATCCACTGAATTTGAAAAGGATGAATTTTATGGTATATGGATCCTATCTCAATTAAAAAAAAAAAAGAATGCTTATTTCACTTTTACCCTTGACAACAAAGGATACT